CACCTTGCAGTTCCGGGTATGGCTGCGTCTCCTCAGCCGAGCCACTGTGCCGTTCCGGGGAACTGGTCTAGCAGAAGAGTCCGAAAACGCTATTTAAGGCCGTGCCGGCCCCATGTATAGAGGATTTTGCCCCAGCCGACGTTGCCGTGCTGGCCGGCGCTGCACAAACGACAACCTGCTATAGTAAACGCTCCTTCTTGTTGCTGTTTTCAAAACGGATTGCCTCCCAGCTTCGCCTTATGGCAAAGGCTTCAGCGAAGTCCGCTCGACGGCTCGCCGCTCTTCGCCACCGCTACCATCGCGACACAGCAAATTCCTAACAGTGGTTGGCAGCTTGGGGATACGATATCCTACGTTTGGCACACCGGATCAGACCCCTGGAAGCTCGAGCACGACCGATCTGATATCAGCGTTTGGATACGCTGGTATACGCTACCCTGTTCTCATCGTTCGGCAAGCTAGGACAAGCAACCCCGGATCTCAACATTGACAAGTTGGACCGGATCCTGAAGGCCTGACACTGTTTGACGGCAGCCACGAGTTGGACCATCGTCGGCTACTTTGGTTGGGTGAGTGCCCAACGTTTACTGTTCATTTCGCCAGACCTCTGTAGCACAGGCAGATGTTAGGCGAGTGTTTTGTGTTTTTTGTTGGCTATAGTTCAATATTCCCCTGCTTTAAACCACGAGATTAGTTTTGGAGTACGGTGAATATCAATAGCAGAGAATCACGAGAAACGAGATCGCGATGGAGCAGTACCTTGTGGAGGACCTCCTCGAAATTTGTCGAGCCATGGGGATTTCCGCCGGGTCTGCTAAAACAAGGGAAGCGATTCTCGAGGTGATGCGGGCAGAGAATGTGACGGCCGAGGAAGCTGACGAGTTTTGGGAGCTCATTTGCGAGAAAAGCCGCGAAGAGCTCGAAGCTCAAAGGCATGAACAATGGAAGGCTGAGGAGAGTCGCAAAAGGAGAGAGCATGCTCTCAGAATGAAGCAGCTTGATTGTCAAATTGAAGCGATTAAGTGGCAACGAGCACAATACCGACTCGAACTCTTCAGAATGGACGAGAACATCGTGTCTTTTCTCGTTAATTTTGAAGAGGTCTGTGACGATGTTGGTGTTGAGCGAGATTTATGGTCGGAGAATCTTGCCACGTTGCTTCCCTGCAAAGTCGCAAGCATTTTGGAGCGCTTATCTGCCGAGGAAGCACATAACTTCGATAGGGTTTTAAAATACGCTGTGTTCTGCTACTTTGCTGCCCTGAGTCCTGCCGACTGCGAAAGTCGAGAATACAAGTACAGCACTGAAGCGCGCAGCAAAGTGCTAGAAATGGAGGCCCATCGCAAAGCGCAGGACGCCAACGTGCGTCAGAGAGAGCAAGATGAGGCACAGCGTAAGGCGATGGAGGTGAAAGCATGTGAGAATGAGGCTCGCTGAAGAGCGCTAGAAGTTGAAGCGCGTCGAGAAGCACGTAAATATAAGGCATGCCGAAAAGCTATGAAGACTGAGGCCCGTCACAAAGCACAAGCCGCCGAATTGCGCCAGAGAGAGCATGACGTCGAGGTGCATCGCGAGGAGTTAGGGGCCGAGGCCCATCGCATAGCTAGGGATGCCGAGGTGCATCATAAAGCACTGGAGATGAAGCTGCTTCGCAGCGCAGATTATCAAGATGAATCGCGTGGAAAAGAGCTTGACGACGAGTCGCGTCACAGGGCGCTAGAGGTTGATGCCTGTCGACAAAAGCTTGAGCAGGATGCGCGACATAAAGCGCTACAGAACAAAGCTCGTGAAAGAGAGTCCCAGGCTGACTTCGAAGGCCAGAGAACAAGGGCTATTCACGACAGCGATAGACCCCCACCGATCGAAAGCTCTGTAAGCGTGTTTCTTAGCCTTGAAGTCATCGGGACTACCGTTCTGTCACAGGCAGAGACAGCTAGCGACGGGCCCTAGGAAACGCTCGCTACAAAATCGGGAACTTCGACTCCGCACAAAGAATGCTGGCACACTTGTGGAGAAGTGTGTCGAGGCTGCCAGTATTGGGAGAAGTTCCGACAGAAAGAGGCGCCGGCATAAGCGTAGCGCGGTAAAGACGACTGACGCCAAGCCCGCTAAAGCCACCGTTAAGTGCTGTGACGTCTTCATTCGAGGAGCCGGGTTTAGGAATAGGCGTAGGATTGCGAAAGTGCTCGTTGCGAAATGTTTGGATCTCAGACCATCACTGAGATTGAGATCAGGCGGGAAGTCCGTCAAGAAAAACCGAGTTTCAGGGAAATTCAGACGCCGAGATCATCGCCTGGTCTCATCTTTTTCGATGCCGCGTAGAGGCAATCACGTGAAGAAGCATCGCGTACGCCTGAGCTGTAACAAAGGCTGTCATTCCTCACCGTGGCGAGAGGGTCACTGGTCGAACCAGAGGGGTAAACGATGCAGTGCAGATGCCCCTTTCTTCGAGTTCAGCGGCTGCGGGTCAAAAGTCGCTGCTACTGAGTTCGGCGAACAGGTTGATTCGTTGTCCTTTTGTCCAGACCGCAACCCTCAGAAGCTGTAGAGTGCGCGACTCCCCAGAGTTCGCTTGAGAGAGTGCCGCCTCGCTGATATGAAGAGTGTATTTTTTGTATTTAATTTTGAGAATAACTTTTTCTAGTTTTGTTGTCTGCCGATGAGCAAGGAATGGTTCTAAATTCTTGTAAGTTTTACTTGCCTTGTCATCGGAGAAGCTCACATTAATGTGTTTGTTCGATTAAATTTGTTTTCATAATATTTCAAAGGTAACAGTTAGTGTGCTTTATTTTAACAGAGAAGGCATAGTAAAAGCCCCTGTTTAAGATACCTTCTGTGTTTAGCATTGCGTGTTATTTTGCACGTCGGTGTAGGTTAACTTTTAACTTTGTTCTGTCTAATGCGCGCAAGTTTTATTTTCAGTCTTATTTTCTAAGTTTTTTGCAAGCATGCTTTCTCTTGTCGTGATGAACGTTGACGGCGCGCAGTGAATGATTGCTTGTAAGATGACAAACTTTGTTATATTTAACAGTCTGACGCTTGCAAGCGACGCCAATGTGCGTGATTCAGAATTGCTTGGTATTCTAAATTGTAGATTCGGGGTCAAATTGAGTTAACCTTGGCAGCTTCGATCGTCCCTAATCTGCCCGGGTCACAATCAAGAATCGCTCACGAAAAAAAAAAAAATTGTGTTTGGTTTAGCAGTGTCATGCACTGTAAAGGAGTGTCGGCATTGTGTATTCCTCCCGAGATTCGTTGCTCGTGATGCTATTAATTAGTTCAGCGTAATCTCGAGGAAACATTTGGTTTCTGCTGGTCTGGCGATTTGATCAGCATTTGGAGGGTGCTTGCTTTGGCCAGAGTGGTTCGGCTTTGTTCGACTCCGTCGTTCCAGTGAACCTCCGCAGGCCTATGACAGTCTCAACGGGCGGAGAGAGCGGAACGGCTACCGGCGGTCAACCAGCATCCCTCCTTCCGAGCCACGCTGACGGCTCAAAACTCCGGATGCATTGTCTGGCGGCGGGGGTGCTGTTATGCCACAGACATTTTCCTTGTTCGGGAGCACGTCTCACGAGATCGAGTGCTGTTCCGACGAACTGTCTCTCCCCTCCCAGCGCCGCCTTCCGTGCAGGAGAACCGTGCAGTTCCGGGGATAACGTCGCTTCCTCCGCCGAACCACCTTGCAGTTCAGGGTATGGCTGCGTCTCCTCAGCCGAGCCACTGTGCCGTTCCGGGGAACTGGTCTCGCAGAAGAGTCCAAAAACGCTATTTAAGGCCGTGCCGGCCCCATGTTTAGAGGATTTTGCCCCAGCCGAGGTTGTCGTGCTGGCCGGCGCTGTACAAACGTCAACCTGCTACAGTAAACGCTCCTTCTTGTTGCTGTTTTCAAAACGGATTGCCTCCCTGCTTCGCCTTATGGCAAAGGCTTCAGCGAAGTTCCGCTCGACAACTCGCCACTCTTCGCCACCGCTACCATCGCGACACAGCGAATTCCTAACACTCTGTGGGCGCCATGATGGGCACGCTGTTCGAATGCAGGGAAGATGTCGCGGCAATATATACTGCTTGAATTCGATTGAAAGTTATTCAACCAAAGTAACAACCCCCTTCAAATTCACTTTCGAACCAAAAAGGTCACCTAATGAAATGCATAAATTACTTTTATCAAATTCTCCATAAAACTTACCATTTCCTAATATTTTTGTTTTGTCTGTGTGAGTGTGGCATGGGCTTACATGTAAATTAATATCTTAAACTTACAAAACCACCCCTCTGGCCTATGTTAAACAAGTCGGCAGCACCCTAAAGTGGTCGAAGAAAAAAATCAGCAATAAAGCACATACATTAGAAATCATAGCGATTTCTTTCAGAGAAAGCTTAATCAAACTTTTTCATGGTTTGGTAGAGAAGAAAATTTTTCAAAGTTCCCTACTCGAAACCTATTCGAAAGTGCCCAACATTGAAGGCATAGCACTAGCATAACAAGGTCAAACTTGGCTGCCACTATATGTTGGTGGTCATGAGAACTGTGGTAACACTTGATTCACTTGATTCAACAATGCACTTCCGCTTTACAAAGCACTTAACTTATATTCTGTCACAAGAAGACATTTTTTTATAGCAACAAGATAGGTAGTCTCTCATAATGGAATATTTATAGCTGGAATGTGCATACATATAACCAGTGTTTCTTAACATCATTAATATGATCTGTGTGCCTACTGTAAACATCTATTCCATTTTGCTCACGTGAGCTTCTTTTTTTCGTCTCTCTTGTCACACACATTTAGACCCACACTACCTGCTTGCTACGTAACCAAATATATTTTTAGTGTTGGGCCACATTTGCTGGGCGCTTTGCACATCATGCATACTACATTCCAGCGCTCCTAAGGCTCATTTATTCCTCCCGTGCGAGGAGGAGACGCCACAGCCTGCAGTGTGCTAGGGGACTGGACAGCACGAATTTGAAACTTTGAAGGCCTTAAAGAAAGACTGACTGTGGGTCATCCTGTGCGGCGTGCTTCTTGATGAAGGACAGCAGCTGGTTGCAGAAGTTCATGCACACCGCACCAGACCACAAGCCCTGCACAGTTAAAGAACCACAGTTATTGAATTATACTATACACTTATGGGCAGCAAACTTAGATTTCAATAGCACTGAATACACACCGGGCAGTGTTCAAATACCCCCACTGGTCCTATGTGCGAAATGAGAAGACACACCCCGAGCAGCCGACGTTGAATGACTTCCAGCCCATTGCAACTTCAATGCCACATGAAATCAAAATTTTCTTTACGAAGGGCAGTGCAATCAAGCCTCAAGCCTCATCAAAACAGAGTTGCTATTTGCATAACAGGGGGTTCCTTATACTCGAAAAGTCATAATAAACGAAAAAAAAATGCTGCGCAATGTTGATACTGTTACGGTGAACAATGTTTATTTTACAGACGGGATGATGGATGGTGCCAGATGGAAGGCCTTGCCCTGAGTATTGTCACTTCTTTCCCCTCCTTTCCGCTTCGGCGAAAGTTTTGTATGATTTCGCCGTTACAGGTGATGCCCGCAGGGCGAGCTAGTCAGCGTCGCCCATAGTATGGTTTTAAACGGGCGACATGCACGACACGAGTTTGTCTGGAGTGATGGCCAGAAGATTTAAAGCGTGATATCTCGTTAACATTGCTAAGGCGCGACATAATTACAAAAGAACCTGTATAGCGGGCCAGAAACTTCTGATACAAGCCACACTTGCCGTAGAAAGTCCATATCCATGCCATATCTCCTTCGCTGTACAATACAAGTCGATATCGCTTATCGTAGCGAGCTTTTGAACGGTCTTGGGTTGTGAAATTCCAGAGATGCGTGATGCACCATGTCTCCTCTGTGTGACAGAGTGTCTCTGCGAGAGATGGGTATTCTTGCTTCGAAATTGGCGGAATTGTGTCAAGGGTATTACGTGGCCCACGAATGTAAAGAAGGTAAAACGGGCTAAAGCCGGTGGTCTCCCGCATCGCAGTGTTGTAGGCATAGGTCATAGATGATGAAATTGCGCCCCAGTTTTTATGCTTGGAATCATTGTACATAGCTAGCATGTTAATGAGCATCCTGTTGGCACACTCAGTCAGGCCGTTGGTCTGCAGATGGTAGAAGTGGCATGATGCTGGCCTTACGCCTGGCCTGTATGAGCACCCAACAATGAAAAAGCCTGTCCTCATCACCGCCGGAATCCTTAATCGCCTGTATCAAATGTGGCTTCCTATGTATCATTGCCTCGTCAATACCCAGCTCCTCGCAGAAAAGCAACAAATCAGGTTTTCTCAAGCTCTTCAAGTCCATGGTCAACCCGTGCAGACTTCCGTGGCTCTTAACTGCTGTGAAGGTATCTTCAATAAACAATGCTTTCACAAAGCAGTACCAATCTACCCCATTAGATAGACATTGCCATCTATCCAAAACACCCGGTAGAATCTGTTAGGAAAGTGAGCGCTCACCAGCATCGGTACCAGGAAAGAACACCACCGAATACAACCGAATCCCGCCGCTGCCAACCAATTGATGTGATCGAGGATCGGGCACACGCCGTCATCCAGGTGCCGGGGTAGGAGAAACTCTTGCTTAGAAAATACACACGTTTCATTTACATATTTACAAGCAAACAATGTAAGCACACAGGTGCACTTTTAGACCAGAGATGACAGGGCCAGGTGAAGGTCAGAGAGAGAGCCCCCAGCGCACACGCGATGCTCTTTTTATATCCTCCGTTCCATGCACTCGCTTCTTGTCAAACGCAAACTGCATGTGCCAGCGATGCCTATGTGCATTTTCTGCAATGCACACTGACACCGCTCGCATTCCTGCAGGACGCGACCTGCGTTCGAACGGTATGCCGATCAGCGTATCTTGTGGGTCAGGCCCTTGCATTGCAAGTCATAGTGCTTTGCGAGGCTGTCTCCTTCCCTGGCGCTTAAGTGGTTGCCTGTGCCCCGCTCCTCGGTCACATCAACTGGTTGGCAGCAGCGGGATTTGGTTAGATTAGGTCGGATGCGATTCGCATTCTTTTCTGCTACCAATGCTAGTCAGTACTCACTTTCCGTAGAGATTCTACCAGGTGTTTTGGATAGATGGTGATGTCTATCTAAAGGGGCAGATTAGTTGCTGCTTTGTGGAGACAGTGTTTATTAGAGGTGTCTGCACAGCATTTAGAGCCACAGAAGTCTGCACGGGGTGGCCATGGACTTGAACAAGTTGAGGAAAACGGATTTAGTGGTTTTGTGCGAGGAGCTGGGTGTTGACGTGACGATGATACAAAGGAAGCCGCATTAGATACAAGCGATTAAGGACTCTGGCGCAGATGAGGAGAGGCTTTGTGATTGTTGGGAGCTCGTACGAGCCAGGCGTAAGGAAGCGTACGAATGAGAGTGGCTTGCATTTGAGAGAGAGACCACCAGGCGTCAAGAGGGAGCTGCAGCTCATGAGATGGAAATGGAATGATTGAGTCTTGAGCTTCGGATTGTCCTGGCGAATCGTGCCAGTGGTCAAGGTACACTAAATGCAGAGATTCATGACAGACCAGGCATGATAAACATGGAATGTATGGCTGAGCAAGCTGGTGAGTGCAGCATCCGTCGTCAGTCGGAAATGACAGGTGTTCCTAGCATGGCAAAATGCCAAGATGACTCAGTCGTAAAGGAAGGTTTCTCTCAGCTTGGGGCAGATGTGGTATCTTTGACTGAGCATGAAAAGTGTGCAGGCCCACTCGTCAAACCAGAAAGCATGCAGCCAGAGCTGATGATGATGTTTGATGTTTTGTGGCGCAAGGGCCACTTCACGGCCAAAGAGCGCCAGTTCATCTTACTAAAAATATAGACAATGATTGTAATAAGCGACTGTATAAAGGCCATAAAATTCCTCGCCGTAAGGCAGATAAGAACATACAAGTATTAAAATCATGACCATGCCGTGAAAGGTGTATATGGTGTGAGTAGATAACAAAAGTTGGTGATAATAAGAACGATGGTGGATATGTATGGCATTAGCACAAGTGCCTCACTCGTTCATACCCTTGCGTCCAAGGGCCGTGAGGCAAGTGCTTTCTTGTGTAGCCACCGCAGCAAAAACCTCTCTGGAGAGGTCGTGCTACGGTATGCCCGGGTATATGACATGAAAGCTATGAATTTCTTTTAAAAACGCTAACAATGATTTATGACTAAAAAGCGGTTCCCTACCGAAAAACATTGCAGGGTGTAAAGGTATATGTTGTCGGTAGAGTAATGGAAAATGTTGTTTTCTTAGAGTTTCTAAGTGTTTACACTGAATTAACATGTGAAGGACGGTTAAGGGTTCACCACATGTCACATAATGGTGGATCGCCACCAGACAACAGATATGTGTGTGTCGTGTATGTGTGTCCTATCCTGAGTCTCGTTAGTGTTACCTCTGTATGACGCGATTTCGATACGGGCAGCCAATGACCAAGGTGTGGCTTAATAATGTGTAGTTTGTTTTGTGTGTGTGTATTCCACTTGCTCTGCCAGTAGTCCCTGAGGTTTCGTTTGAGAGACGGCTTAAGATCGAGGGCCGGGATTGATATGGGTGTAGGGGCAGTGCTTTTGTGGGTGGATGCAGCGAGCTGATCCGCCCTCACGTTGCCTTGAATCTCATGGTGTCCTGGCACCCAGCACACTACAACATGTTGTTTGAGTGTGTAGAGTGTGCACAAAATGGAGTAAAGTGAGATGAGGACCGGGTTTTTTTGTTTTTTAAGACTGTGCAGAGCCATTACCACACTGAGGGAGTCTGTATAAATTACTGCTTTTTGTACGTGTAATTGTTTGATGTGTTTAGCTGCCACAAGTATCGCGTAAGCTTCCGCTGTGAAGATACTTGTGCCTGGATGTAGAGGGCCAGCATCCGAGAAGGATGGGCCGACAACAGCGTAGGACACAGAGGAGTTGGACTTGGAGGCATCTGTAAAGAACTCAGGACGTGTGTATTTGTGTTGAAGTTCCAGGAAGTATGTTCAGATATGGGCAATAGGCGCATGTTTTGTAACTTCAAGAAAGGACACATCACAGTCTATAGTCTGCCATTGCCACGGTGGCAGATATGCTACAGGAGCCATTAAACTATGTTCAAGTGAGACTCCAGTTTCCTGAGCTAGACTTTTCAGGCGAACTGAGAAGGGCTACCTCATCGAAGGCCTGTTTTGAAACAGAATGGAGCTCGACAAATCATTAATAGTAGAGTATGAGGGGTGCTTCTTATCTGCTTTCACCTTAAGGAAATAAACAAAGGACATGTAAGTTCTCTGCAGATGAAGCGACCACTCATTTGACTCAACATAAAGGCTTTCTACGGGGCTGGTGCGAAAAGCACCCGTAGAAAGGCGGATGCCCAAATGGTGCACAGGGTCCAGCATCTTCAAAGCACTTTGTGTTGCAGACTGATAAACAATGGCCCCATAATCTAAGCGGGTGCGAATGAGGCTTCGATACAGATTCATGAGACATTGCCTGTCACTACCCCACGTAGTACGTGACAACACTTTTAAAACATTCATGGCTTTTAAACATTTTGTTTTTAGATACTTGATGTGCGGTACGAAGGTCAACTTGTTGTCCAAGATTAATCCTAAGAATTTATGCTCCGCATTGACAGACAGACGTTGACCGTTCAATTCAATGTCAGGTTCTGAGTGCATGCCTCTCTTTCGGGAGAACAAGACACACGTGCTCTTTTGTGGGTTCAGTCGGAATCCGTTTTCCTCTGCCCATTTGGAGACCTTGTTTAAACCTAACTGAACCTGTCGCTCACACATTACCAGGTTGCAAGATATAAAGCCAAGCTGGACGTCGTCGACATATGTACAATAAAACATATTGCGAGGGATGGACAAGTGCAAGGAATTCATCTTGATGAGAAAAAGTGTGCAGCTAAGTACACCACCTTGTGGCACGCCTGTTTCCTGGACGAATGTTTGGGAAAGAACCGTGCCCACTCGGACACGGAATGTCCGGTTTGACAGGTAACTTTCGATTATGTGAAACATTCTTCCGCGCACGCCAAGGTGGGACAGGTCTCTTAGA